TAGGTTTCCATTGGGGAGAATCACAGGAAGTTGCATTTAACATGATTGAGGATAAGCTATGTAAAGCACTTGTTTTAGCATTACCTAATTTTGATAAAACATTCGAGGTTGAGTGTGATGCATCAGGGATAGGTATAGGAGCAGTATTAATGCAGGAAAGGAGGCCTATTGCTTACTTTAGTGAAAAGTTAAGTGGAGCAGCATTGACCTATCCGACATATGACAAAGAGTTGTATTCACTTGTTCGAGCTTTGGAGACTTGGCAGCACTACTTATGGCCAAAGGAATTCGTGATATACACCGATCATAAATCTTTGAAGCATTTGAGAGGTCAAGGTAAGTTGAACAAAAGACATGCGAGATGGATGGAGTTTATTGAGACTTTTCCATACGTCATCAAGTACAAACAAGGTAATGAAAACATAGTTGCTGATGCATTGTCTCGAAGGTACGTGCTTTTAAATTCATTAAGTACTAGATTACTTGGTTTTGAGCATATTAAAAGCATGTATGAAACTGATAGTGATTTTTCTGATATATATGCTTCATGTGACAAATGTGCATTTGATAAATTATATAGGCATGAAGGATATCTGTTTAAGGAAAATAAGTTGTGCATTCCTAATTGTTCTTTGCGTGAATTATTGGTAAGGGAAGCACATGGGGGTGGTTTAATGGGACACTTTGGGATTCAAAAGACTTTAGACATGTTAGGAGAACATTTTTATTGGCCTAAAATGCGACATGACGTAGAGCAAATATGTGGAAAGTGCATAACTTGTAAAAAGGCTAAGTCTAAGGTTCAACCTCATGGATTGTATACTCCTTTGCCTGTGCCTAGTGAACCATGGGTAGACATATCTATGGATTTTGTGTTAGGTTTGCCTAGGACAAAGAGGGGTAGGAATTCAATATTTGTAGTGGTCGATAGGTTTAGTAAGATGAGCACTTTATACCATGTCATAAAACTGACGATGCTATTAATATTGCGGACTTGTTCTTTAAGGAAATAGTACGTTTACATGGAGTACATAAGAGTATAGTGTCAGATAGAGATGTGAAATTTTTGAGTCATTTTTGGCGTGTTTTGTGGAGTAAGTTAGGAACTAAGTTATTGTTTTCTACAACTTGTCACCCACAAACAAATGGTCAAGCTGAGGTGGTAAATCGAACTATGACACAATTGCTTAGGACAGTGATCAATAAAAATTTGAAATCATGGGAAGAGTGTTTACCATTCATAGAGTTTGCATATAATCGAGCCATACATTCTACTACTTCATTTTCTCCTTTTGAGATTGTTTATGGTTTTAATCCACTAACACCTATGGATTTAATACCTTTACCTGTGCATGAACGAGGTAGCTTGAATGGGAAACGCAAGGCAGAGATAGTGAAAGCACTCCATGAAAGGGTCAGGATGCAGATCGAAGAGAAAGGAAAGCTGGTTGCATCAAAAGCAAATAAAGGAAGGAGACGCGTTACATTTGAACCTGGAGATTGGGTTTGGGTGCATTTCAGAAAGGAGCATTTTCCAGAACAAAGGAAGTCGAAGTTGCAACCAAGAGGCGATGGATCGTTTCAAGTCATCAAGCGGATCAACGACAATGCCTTCAAAGTGGACTTACCAGGTGAGTCTAATGTTTCAGCTACTTTTAATGTTGCTGATCTCTCTTTTCGATGCAGGTTCAGATTCGAGGACGAATCCTTTCGAAGAGGGAGGGGATGATATGAATCAAGGCACGTCCACAACCGAAGCGAGTCAAGCGACGAGTTACGGAAAGGATCCATTGATAGTCGAAGGCGAACCGATGACGCGATCGAGGACGAAGTGAGTGAAAGAAGCGATGGGATTGCTTGTCAAGCAAACGATCGATGAAATAATGTTCGGGAGGTCAAATGGAACAAATTTCATGTTGGGGTCGAAGGCCGAAGGAACTTGGATCAACGAGATAAAAGCGGACGAAGGCGGCACGGAGTTGGTCTATGCGACCGTAGGCTCAACGGCCTATGCGGCCGCATAGATCAAAAAAGTGGGAAAAAATTCGTTTTTTTTTTAAATTTTTGCCGAATCTTCTAATGTTGGTAGAACTCTTGTGAAATCAAAATATTACCATATTTTGATTAATTTGGACTTTTTTTATGCCATAGTATAAATAGGAAACTCTTTTCATTATGTAAAAACTTTTGCTGAAATTAATACAGAGAGAAAAATTTTCTTTCAATCGATTGTTCTTCATTAAACAAACTTAGAACTTATCAAGAATCGATTTCTTGTGGCGTTCTTGACGTCGGGTTGTGGGTTTCATTGATTGTAATCAAGGGATTTCAGATTCTTCGCTAATCTGAGGTTTCGTGGTTCGATCATTGGGGTTCAAGATCCAAAACCGGATTAGTATTGGCGTTCTTGGGTTCCGCATCAATCTAGTTGTGGGTTTCGTAGTTTTCATTGCTACGGGATTCGCATCAGCCCATCTTCATTTTCTATATATGTTTGGGGCTTCATTATACAATTAAGGTATGTTTTGAAACCCTAGCCAATTTTCAACGGTTTTTTTTTTTTATCTGTTTTTTGCACTATTTCTACACAATCGAGTTTTTCTATTGTTCCTTGATGATTTCACACACCAAGGACTCTAAAGCCAGCATTAATTGCATCACCAAGAAACTCTACCGTGTACAAAATCGACACCTATGGCAACCACAAAGGTTAGGGCTCAATTTAAATTCATCCACACGAAACAAGATTACTCCAACACTAGAGCACAACCAGCAATACCACTAAGGTTGCCCAAGAATCCACAAATAGAGGTAAATGTCGCACTCACAAAGAGAAGAGAAGGAAAGATCAGTTGCTTCACTTAAAAACACAAAAAGAAGGAAAACACCACACGGCTGCCCCAATTTTCAACAGAAATGGCTACTTTATCTCTATAACGACACTTAAATCAATTCTCAAAGAAAGTAACATTAAACGATAAACATCATAACCCCGACTTGTTGGTTATCAACAAAGTGCAACAAAGGAGAGCCAGCTTGGTGAGATGAATATAGATCCAGGTTTCATCCCGGCCTAGGATTTTACAATCATTCCGTGTAGGCTGGCTGTTACCTTGGATGCCTTTCTCGTCAAACACAATGCAGTTGCTCAATGATGTGTAGGTTGACAGCTGGTGCTCGAATCAAATACTAGAATTCCAGGTTGGGTATCCTTCTAGGGAGTGCTTGTCAAGAAACATGTGGCAACAGCCACGGCAAGTTTAAGGTTGGATTCCCAGACATTAAGATCCTCAGGGAACAGTGCAACAGCCACGGCAAATTTTGAGACAGAATTGGTGAAAGGGTAAGAACCAGAGTATGCAGGGCTATTCTGCATTCCTGAAAATTACTGCCAGACTTTGAGTCTTAGGCGTCAAGTTCCAGCAAGTGCAATATCTTATTTTCTCTTACCTGATTTCACCAATTGACCTGGTTCTTCTGCATGCAGATTGAGGGAAACTTGCATTTCCCCTCTCCATTTATATTGAAAAGCAGAACTTTCTATTTATTTTATTGCTCATGGCCTCGTGTTGATTAACATACCTACTGCACATGTTCAAGAATAAAATATATCATTCATTTTATATAGAAGCTGGTCCGAGTATTCTGTTGATGTGTTTGGGGAAGTATGGTGTTTGCAATGTAACACAGAACTGCGCAGGTAGCCAACATTAGTGGAGTAGCTTGTTGAAATAATCAACCATGTTAGGCCACATGATTCACACTATTCAAGCATGGGAACTGTTTCAAAATCACTTTAAAATACTATCCAAACCTAGAGAAGAACCTCCACTTTCAAAATCACTTTAAATTACTATCAGGCCCAGGAAAAAGAATACACACGGATCCGAAATACAAACATCCATACTAGTAACATAAGAGAAGCTTCTCTATTCAACTTTCAAGAAAGAAGCCATGGCAACCTGGACCTGGAGAATAATACATATTATCACTAATGCAGCTGTCAAAACAAGGAACAATTACAGAGCAAGAGCAACTCATTACATGTACATTTTAGGCAAGCAGTTCTAGTTCAAGTCTCAAGATCACTTTTTTTCTTTTTCCTTTTTCTTTTTTTTGCACTCTGAGTCAACTACAAAATAATGGAATAAAGCATTCTTTCTTCCATAAGAACTTCATGGTAAGCATTATTTTTCAAGTGGTCCATTCCAGCACAAACTCAGTTACATCAATTTTGCATCTCTCTTTTAGCAGCGGCAACTGAAATGCTACTAAGCCTAGAGTTAATTTTTTGAACTCATCAATTTCACCAAAAAATTGAAAACAGTGCAACTCGTATATTACAAATAGACAAAATGAAATCTATGCCTTGAACATACAGAAAAAAGAAACATCTAACAGAGATTTACAGGTACACCACCATCTCAGCAGTTACTGGTCAACCAAAAAACCAAACAGTTGTATAAAATTTATTATAATAGAAAATTTATAGACATAAAGCACAGACTTTCATAGGGAAAACAGTAAATTTTTTTTTAATCCATCAAAATATGTCATTGAACAATCATGAATATAGCTTACACAACGATTTAATGTCAATAATGCAATACAAAATACAAGGGTAGATCAATGAACATAAACCTAATGCAATAAAAGTAAGCAAGTTTGCTATATTCTACAGCAATTCCATCCAAATATCTAAATTTTCTGAATCCCGGGAAAAGCCACACTATTGCGCAGTCATCAGAATTCAAGCTTTCTGCATAACTCTTTATCAATGACTCTAAACTTACTTGTGGACTTCACCGGAGCACCAGGACAAGTGTCAGCAACACCATTGAGACATGGTGCAGAAGTAGGTGTCCTATATCCATCAGACTCAGAAACCTGAGTCAGTGCCTTGGCAACTAGTTCCTGGGTCTGTTCTGAAATGATTGCTTCTAGGAGAGTGCCATACACAATCTCAAATAACTTTTCTTCACCTAAGATGATCTCTTTATTGGCTTCATGATTTGCATCCCCTAACAAATTTGCAGTGGAGTTGAAGTTGAGCTGTCGAACAACATTTATCCTTGATTCTTCCATACATTTCCCACCATGTGGAGCTAGCAAAAGCTTGTCAGGGCCAGGAGCAAATGGATCAAAGACAGTCTCTTTTGGAGTTTGAGGGCTATCTTCATTGGGAAAATTTTTGTGGTTATTCTGGTATGAATTCAAGCAAAGAAGATTAGGAGAGGAAGAATAGAGTGTAAGTGGGGACGAGAACCCATAGAACTGGTCTTCATTCTCTGGGTTGGAATCTGGAGTAACAGGCTCCAGAGAACTCCCATTTCCCGTTGATGCGGACAATGAGGCTGACGGCTGTATAAGATTCATGGTTTCTTCTGCAATTCCACAGCTTTCATTATAAAGAATTTCTAGATTTGTTAATTGATTGGAAGATGCCTCAGTACCCATGTTCCTGATGAAAATTGGAAAGTAAAAAAGAGAAGTGGATTCAGATATTCCGATGAAACCAATGTATTTAAAAGGCGGACTTACTGGGGAGGGAAGATTCAGATAATGCTTTTGAAATACAAACAGATATTTCGTCGAATTACAGAAGTAAAGCTCTGAGCTGTACTTTTACACAGATTACAAAAGTAAATAACATGGAAGAAATAAAACCCTAAAAATTAATTAAAGAAGAAGATAACCCCTATACAAAATTCATCAAGGTAGTGAAATATGATTAATTCTTCGATAAATAAATAAACTGGGAGGAAAAATAAATAGAAAAGATGCGTGAATAAATAAAGAAGAAGGAACCTGTGGGCTCAAGTGAGATGGGAATTGAAATGAGCAATACCCTAAATTCTATGAAGGGGTTTTCTTGATTTTGATCAGGAACTAGAAATGAATCAAATGAAATGGGATTTCAATCTCTGCCTCTTTATTAGGGTTTGGTCTGGTCTGGACTGGAACGACGACAAAGCAGTCCTCTGTTGTCTTGTAGTGTGATTCGTATTGTAATCAAAGAAACGGACACTGAGTCCCGTTTGACTTCCGTTTTTTTTTTTTTCAAATTTTAATATTTGAAAATTTTGTAACTGAAAAAGAATGAAAAATTTTTAATTTATGTATAAAATTATTTTATGGAAGATTCTGTGGTTAAAAATAAAAGAGAGGAAAAAAATGAAAAAGAATAAAAGTCAAACGAAGGCTGAATGTATAAGTGTACCGAGTTAAATTTTTTGGTGACCATTGCACCTTGATCATGGCTTTTAAAATTTATTGCACTAGCCGCTCAACTTTACTCTATATATCTCTATTGCCACTCGACTGAAAATGATAGTTAACTTGCCTACATGGTTCACGAATTTGTGATGTGGCACATTAAATGTTTACTCATGTGCCACATCAACACCAACTAAGCATATCTAAACATGCCTTCCAATCTTACACAAAGTAAAACACGATTTCCACCATTTTTATTCACACTTCCACCATCACCATCTCTTCACTGTGAATTAGAAAACCCCTAAATCTTCCTCTACTAAACCACCAGAAATCAATACGTGGAACCTAACGATTTTGCCCCTAAAACTCGCTCCACATCTACACCTGCACGCTGATAAATATATTGAGAGTTTATTGGGTTTCTTGCAGTTTTTCTTCTATTTTTCTTCAAGTTTAATATGTTTTTTCCATCAATTCCATCAATTTATTAGGTTTCTTCGATTTGATATCTATTTGCGAATCGAGAGTTATTATGCTAGCGACAGGAAATTTCTATTATAGGTATGTCTTTTCTATTTTGAAGATTTTAATTAATTGTTCTATTAATTGGATATTCAAGTATCGAAGTTTTGTTTTATTGCAGCAAATTAGTTTTTTAAAAAATATTTTTATTTTGAAAACATTGAGCTTGATTGAGTTGGAGAATATCAATTGAACATTTGTCGTCTATGTTCAAGTCATTTGCCCAAATAACCGAGATATTCCTGAACATAACTATCCGTAGGGAAAAAAGGATCTATGGAAGGGAATTGGAAAGGGAATGGAAGAGAAACGTGAATGTGTTCTAACAATGTAATGGGAGAAAAGACTTGTTTGCATTTTTCTTATGTATGCAGTCGGCACTAAGTTTGGTATAATTTATGTTCCAACAATGTTATTACGTCTTGTCACACGTGGCTCCACGTAGTCGACCCACCGTAGCCCTTGGCCCACCTAAGCGGGGACACATGGTTCTTTGGCCGAGGCCCCTAGGCCTTGGGTCTGTGGAGTGCAACCAGAATTAACACCTCAACGGAGGCTCATCACCTTGAAGGTTGAAGCACGTTGTCGAGGTGGTTCACTCTGAGGCCCATACACCGAAGCTATGGCTTTCGAAGTGCCTTCACTATCGCTTCTTCCAAGAGATCCGTTCCTACACAAGTATCTTCTTCGAATGATTGATGTGATATCTATTATAGAGTTTAAATGTCAAGTCTTGTCGAAAAAAGTGGTTGTTCTATTACTTAATAAATGTAGAATGAGCCAACGAGTCAAAAGTGATATCTAGGATTAGATGTATGGGTCAAGAAGATGAGGCCACTTGTACTCCCATCTGAGGGCCACCCAATTTACCTTGTACGACTATAAATACTCCCCCATGACACCATTGTACGACTAATGCAATTTTACATACAAGACTCAGTGCTAGAGTAAATACAAAACAATTTGTCCCATTTTATTCTCTTACAAATAAAACTAAATTTACATGATGTTCATTAACCACGATTGGTAATTATTGTACAATTTTTCTATAAGTGTATCGCCGGATTTCGAACGTTGTCATCCCGCACCTTCGAGCTGCTCCCACGCCCTTTCTGAGACCGTTTTAGACCTTGGTATATCTTAGCGTGTAGGACTTGGCTTACATGTTCGCAAGTGGGTCCAATATTTATTTTCGGTGTGGCCCTAACCGAAAATGAGATCAACAAATGTAATTTATGTTTGGAAGAAAATTCAATTGAATTTTGTTCAAAACGAACAAAAACGTTAGTTGTAGTGCTTTTACTGAATATTTTCAGATTTTTATGCTTTTATTGAATATTTTAAGATTAGTAAGCATTTCTTCTCATAATGATTGTGTTGGTGCTATTACTCTTGGCAAGTATCGATGTAAGTTTATGAAGATCTTAAACTGACTGATTCCAGTTTGCAAAGAAATACGATGGTCTTCTCTAATGTTCGTGCCTTGTCGCTTTTAATTTCGAAGTTTGAGCTTCATCCGTATGCTACAAGTCGTCAACCATTTCCATCGTTGGCACATTAGATGCAATGGAAGGACCGCGTTCATGTTGTTCACCGATTGGCATCATAACTGCTGGATCGGGTGTAACCCGATTCACAATCAAGCATGGGAGTAGGCACGAAATGGAAAGAACTTCCCTGAGCATTGTACTTTGATGCACCCTTTCCTCCGACGACAATTAGTTTACCCTTACATTGCATTGAAAACTAGGTCAGGACAGGAACAGAAATTGATAAAATTTATGACTTATACAAGGCATAAAGGATAGAAACTGAATTTCTCAAATACAAATGGAACACTTTCAAGAAAATATGTAATATATAAATTCCTGAACAATACAAAGATCACAACAACAAATTGAAACTATTAACATAGAGAGCGCCCAACCACTTGAAAGCATATTGAGTTGTTACTTCTTTGCCTTCTATGGTTGTTAGGAATTTATATGAGATACACATTGCTTTCATGAAAATCTTGAATAAAGATGTTATAGCTTGATTTGTTTATGGTGCTGTACTTAAAAGGGCATGGCCTTGTTACCGATTCAAACCACAGAATATGTACACTGCAATTAATTATCAGGGAGATGACACTATAAAACTCAAATCACAAACACGAAATTCAAACACAAACATGTTCTAATCTTTTGCGCACTATTTCAGCGTCTTGTCACTGACTAGATATATTATAATAGTGTAAAAAATTTATTTCAAATTATCTTCAACATGTCCCTTTATGTAAACGCCTTCATCGATTAGAAGTGATTCATTAAGCCTTTGACAGCGGGGTAGTATCGATTGGGGGAATAGGGTTTGGAACTAGCTTTGTGCCTTTGAAAGCGTTCAAGCTAGGGTTTCGAACAAGTTGGTACATGCGAGCTCTGATATCAGATTATTGATTTTAGCCTGGTGGTTTAGTAAAGGACAATTTGTAGGTTTTCTAATTCATAGCAGAGGGAGATGGCGATGGTGTAAGTGTGGATAAAAATGGTGGAATTGTGTTTTGTTTTGAATAAGACTAAAAGGTGTGTTTGGCTATGCTTAGTTGGCATTGACGTGGCACATGATTAAACGTTTAACGTGCCATGTCAGAAATCCGTGACATATAAAAAGTTCAATATCTGCTGAAATATTTAACTCAAATGTATACATCCCTATTTGTCAATTGGATATTTTGGTAAATATTGGAGGATATTTAGGCAAAGGGTAATTTATGTTCACACTATATTTTTATTTGTTGCATCATATTTTAAATATTTGTCCTTCATTTTAAAACACGTTACAATATTTTGAACAAATATCATGATTAAGAACAAGATTTTCCAATCAATGAAACATTAAAAATAAGAATGTGATGAAGAAAAAAGTTAAGGATATAATGTCATAATATATATACATATAACTACCCTATAAATTAAACTAGAATCCACGTTTTATTAGGCATTGCGGTTAGTCAGCCTATGTACCGCTAATGATTTATATAAAAAAGGTTGAACCCCAACCTTAAGGGCCCCATCGCCCCATTCCTGGAGTATTGTGAGCAAGGTAAATCGAGGGATGTACCCCAACAAGATAAGGAACAAGAGCTTCTCCGTACACTGGTGCCCACAAAAAAATCCAATTACGTGTCTCAGGAATCGAACTCTCATATTGCGACTGTCAGCAAGGCTGCTAATGACTTATATATACAAGATATCCAGTGGAAGAAAAAAAAAATTCAAATTCCAAACCATTTCCTCTGCTTTAATCCATAAAGGAATTGTTACTCCAACCATCTTGCATCAGCGAGAAAGAGAGAGAAATGGAAGGGGTGAGAGATTTGCAAGAGATTATTATGAAAGAGGAAGTCAAGAGGAAAAGAAGTTGGATGCAGTTAACAATTGGTATTAATTGGACTTTACAACACTTGAAAGTTGTTCGCGCCCAATTTGATGACGAAGTCACAATGGTAACAACATATTCATCTAGGAATGCGAAGAATATTTGATATTACTCTCAAACCATTACTCAGATTTTAATTTTCTAAAGAACATTGATCATTTTATATAAGCTCTAAGCCTTGAACCATTTTCAAACCATCAACAATTATAAATTATAGATTTAGTTCATAATATTAGGACCGTTGTACTTGTCGAATTGAGTTTATTTCAGTAGCTTAGGCAAAAGTCTAATAATTGATTGTACAGTAGTAATGAGATGTCACCCTCCGAATTTATATTTTATACTGATGTATTAATAAATATTCCAGTTTGCGATGCTCAAAAGAAGAAAAAAATCAATTAAGATTGAATTACGACATAATGTGAACCAAGTGAATCAATATAGAACAGATCGGTTCAATTTACTTCGACATAAATTTTAAATGATTTTGGTTCCTTGAACCAAAAATTAGATATTTTGGTTCTATTCGAGTTATAGTACTTATATAATTTTTAAAATAAAATTGAAAGTCAAACTTATGTAAATTTGAAACCTCCCTAAAATTATTGGCCTAATTTTTGAGCTAGTTTTGCTCACATCTCTTTCATTACCCCCATTTCATTTCCATTCTTTAGTCACAAAAATGAAAAATATGACTGTTATCCAACACATTAAGTCACCATATTTGACTTTCTATTTTTTGTGTGGATCCCGCAACAGCCATATTTTTCATTCTTATTATTACAAAAATGGGTACCAAACGGGACCATAATATATCAAAACTTAATTACACTTGTCGTTCATTCCCTCGATTTTAAGTTAGTTAATTCTAGAATGAAATAATTTCCAACTCTATTTTAAGTTATTTCGACAATAATATAAAGATCAAATTAACTTAAAAAGTGGAGAGTTTGTTAATTTAGACGTTAATTCATCGTATTCCATATCCACCTCTCTTTTATCTCAATCTGTATTCTTTCATTCAATCTTTCTATCAAACTCCATTGTTTGCTGAGGTGGTGGCGGTGCCCAGGTCGAACAAATAAAGGAAGGATGGCGTACAGAAGGAGGCATGGGATGACAAGGGCAGCCACCTTCAAGGAAGACAAATGCCATCCGCCTGAAGACGCTGACTCTTCCACATCCCTGGCGGCTCAGGCAATCAGGGCCTCTGCTGCCCATCGAGACTCCTCCTATGCCAACAACTCTGCTTTCCATTCGTCTTTCAAACACCATTCCAAGGTGTTGTTTTCCTTCGATTGTATCAATGTTCAATCTAACAAACGGATCTTTTATGGTTCGTCCGAATTGATTGGGATTTTGTATCTTGATTTGATCGTCTGATTATTTTTAAACCTACTTGTGTACCTCTATGAATTGCATGGTATGGATCGGAAGCTAGCTATCATTTGAAATCTACTTGAGTATGTGATGTGATTCCTCAAAATATAGGGAGGTCCTATCTATGACTACACGTCAATGAGAAGCTCAAATGAAGCAGGCAGTTTCTGGGGAGTTCTTGCAAGGAAAGCCAAAGCAATTCTCGATGATGAGAATATCTTTCCACAATCGAATAATCTTGACATAACAAGGCCTGAAATGCTCGATTCCTCCAGAGGTGACCAGGTGAAGATACTATTACACTCTTTACTTTGAATTATTGTATATAATGTGGGCAATCACGGTGCGCAGCGCTTCCAATTTCTTCTCTTTTTACCTTCTTCTCTACTTTCATGTTGAAATCTCCGAAAAGATGGACAATCCTACATTGAGAAAGGGACTGGATGCATTTACATCTTCCTTGAACAACATTGGTGGTACTATTGGAAATGCTTTGGAGGTAAATTCCATCATATATTGTTGGATTAGGATTGACAAATTCCATATTCCTGTGCCACCTCAATCTAAAATTCCATGAAACTTCTGTTTTTTCTTCGATGTCCGTCCACCTTAGGTGATTTTACATGACACTATGGTGTGCGTTAATATGTGAGAAAGCAACTAAATGAAAATAGTTGAAATATATGTAATTTTCTCTGTAAATCCTAGAATCATTCAGCATCTCGTTCTGTTATTTGTTTGCAGGAGGGACGTATAATTGTTGAAAATAAGACTGCAGACTTCATCCAAGAAACACGCAAAATACAGATAAGGAGAAAGGATTTCAATTCTGAGGAACAGAACGAGGTTTCTGGTGTACGCAGTCCTTGGCAGCAATCAACACAACCACAGACTCAAACCAGTCAAGAAGTTCAGATCAAGGCATCTCGCGACGTAAGGTCATGCACTCATGGGTATTGAGTATTGAAATCGAGTTAATATATCGTTAGAAAGCTGATATTTGTATTCTTTTAAATGGCGTTTATCAAATATGACTACTGAAGCTTTTTCTTCACCTATCTTAAGTCAAATCAACAAATTTAAACTAGTAACTGTGGATGGTAAACATCTAAATCGTGATTGATATAATACAACATAAGCTGTTTGTTGATTCAACTTTTGTTTGATCCGTAGATGGATTTTTGTCTGATTATTGTGCATTTCTTACTTGAAATCAATTTGACAGTGATATGCATTGATGTTGGACATTGTTTTGGCTTACAGGTGGCAATGGCAACTGCTGCAAAAGCAAAACTACTACTTCGTGAGCTAAAAACTGTTAAAGCAGATCTTGCTTTTGCAAAAGAGCGGTGTTCTCAACTAGAAGAAGAGAATAAAATTCTTAGGGAGGCTCGTGAAAAGGGAGTTAACCCTGCAGACGATGACATGGTATTTATTTTTATATTCTTCCTTTCTGCATAATGTAATGAGGACCAACCCTATAGTAAAGCTATATTCTCAGACTTTCACTTCATATTAGTACTGTGTTTCTGAGAATTGAGTTGAATGATGCTGAATAACCACAATTCAGATACGGCTTCAACTGGAAACACTTTTGAACGAGAAAGCTCGTTTGGCTCATGAAAATTCTCAATATGCACGGGAGAATCGCTTCTTGAGGGAGATTGTGGAATATCACCAACTCACAATGCAGGATGTTGTCCATTTGGACGAGGACATTGAAGAGGTTACAGAAGTTAATCTTGCCTCCAGGACGTTCACTGCCTCACCATCTTCACCAATATCTCCACGGTCATCTACAGAGATCTCCTTGTCTAGAAGCTCTAGTGTGACAAAGGAAATGCTGCCTTCCTTGTCTAGAAGCTCTAGTGATGCAAAGGAAATGCTGCGAGAAACAATAGATGAGTCCACAAGGCATTGATTTTTTTTCCTTGTTCAAAGTCTTGAATTCTTATTTCTCATCAAAAGATTTTTTCCACGTTAGTTCTTTTTCACTTCCTCTTTTTAGTTAAGGGGAAAAAGATTGTGGAAATGAACAAGTACTCAAACTGTTGTTAAATTATTTTATTGCTTTTGCCGTCATGTTCGCTTGCCTTAGTTTGTCATCAAGCTTTCTTTTAAAACATTCATGCTTTGGTTTGTAACCAGCAAATTACTACCACTTATTTTTTTGATCTGATAAATTAATATATTGATCAAAATTGAGTATATATACTCCAAACATCCCCAAACTTACCAAATTAACTTGCAATCGGTCTAATGACCGAAAACAAGAGATTGAAAATCAATCAAATCTAATAACTTCGTCTAATCTAGAACATGAAATGACTAATCCCATTTCTACCTTCTAAGTTTCAGTACTCAATCAAAATTGCATACTGTCACGTTGTAGTCACTCAACTATGATATTTCACTGCATGATCACTGAACTTACTAAAAGTCCCCTCCATCCATCACTATTCAAACAACGGTTTGAATGGCATCCCAGGTGGCAAGACAACGTCCAACGTGTCAACATATGGCGTTATCTTCTTGCCACATGATGCGAAAACCGATTTCATCAATTGGAAGGTCAGATGTATGCAGCAGCCGCAATTGTAGCGTGGAAGCAGGGCAAAATATGTAATCCTTTTGGGGATTAGTTTCATTTCACATAACATGGTTACTTGTGGATCCTGTTCAATCACTATTAGCCTTTATACTCTGAACGGGTCGAGCTAGAGAGGAAAAGAAAACAGCAGGTGAGAGTACCCAGATATTGCATGCTGTCAACTTGTGCCAACTGGAGTTCTGAGTTTTGATAATGATTCTCGCAGTCCTATTTCTGATTAACGTTTTTGTTCTTCTGCACTGTAGTTTGAGGAAGCAAGAATGAAAGTGCAGGTCCAAACCAAGCACGCAAAGCTAATGAGAAATTAAGGGCATTTAGAAGAACCTTGAGTTGCCATTATTGAAGAAAATTTGTTGAGTTTGCATCAGAAACTAAATACTTGATACAAGCTGAGACAGATGGCCTGCTTAACGGCATTTTCTTGTTCCTTGAAGACCTGAAGTTTGTGGAATCACCTAGACGTTCTACGTTACTTACTTTTGATAAATGGTAATAGTTTTCAATAATCGAACTGTAGTATAGCAAGTTTTCTAGTCATAGTTGAAAAACCTTTGGTTTTTCAGTAATGTTTTGTGTTTCAGTATGGTGCAATAGTATTTTTGAAAAATCATTTGGTTTTCTGGAAGTAAAATTTACAAGGATCTTGTTTTATGTAAATAAAAACCATTTGAAAATCTTTTGTGTTTCAGTAGCAGTTACCAGCATCTTGTTTTCAACGTTGTAGGAAGGCCATGCATGAAGACACAAAGCAACTATCATGTGTGTGACTCGTTTAAAAGACTAAAATACACAACCTACTTATTTTCTTGCAATACAACACAATCTTACTGAGGAATCCTTGAAATTATTTACAACAATGATCCAGTATTATTACCTGGAATTGGTCATATGTAGAGGACTTCCAAACGACTGTGTCAGTAGTGATTGATGGAGGGAAAGTGTCATAAGTTCAGTGACCATGCAGGGGAATATCATAGTTGAGTGACTATAATGTGACAACATGCAAATATCATTGATTAATGAAACTTTTTACTTCGATGTTCCCCTTCTTTTTATCTTTTTTGGATGCCGTAATTTGTTGCTTATCAATCGTTCCTTCGAGCTAATCATTGAGGCTACCTTCAAGTTGATGCCTTCAAATTCTGCTTGCCTACTTGGAGTATGTTGGACAGCATTATGTGAAGTGGAATCTTCAAATTGCTTACCTTGTAAATGGGCAGTACACTACTCATTTTTGGCAGCAAGAGCAAGATCCATATTAATTAAACTTGGCCTGAGCTGCAAAATGCTGCTTCAGAAAAAAACTATCGGCCTTTTTCCCTCTTCCCTTTGAGCAGTGGAGATAAAACCAAGGTTGAAATATCTGGAATGGCCGACAGGAAGTTCAAACTGTGAGAATAAACAATGTTGGACCCGGAGGCGATGCAAAAATTGAGAATAATAAACAATATAAAATATGTATAATCACAATAAAGAAAACAAGATTACAGTAAATAGATTGAAGAGAGAATAGCAGAGAAATCGATGTTTAATTAAAGACAATATATGAAGAGAATACAATAATTCAGTAATAAAGCTTCCCCTAAACTGAATGAAGAACCACATATTGATAGGGATACACCGAACTCTAAAAATATCATAAAGATAAAAATAATATAAAACATAATATGGAATAAAGGAAATAATATTTTTCAATAAAATCACGTAAAAATAAGGAAATAATTTTTTCCAATAAAATTATGTAAAAATAAAAAATATAATATTTTTCAAAAAATCCACCCTAATTAGGGGCACAAATTATTTCCAATAAAATTATGTAAAAATAAAAAATATAATATTTTTCAAAAAATCCACCCTAATTAGGGGCACAAAATCTAACAATCTCCACATTGATCCAAATCTTAGTGCAAGGAACAAAGCTTCAAAATTTCTTCACCTGGAAAAATATGTCTAACTTCATCAAAATAACAAAGCTCATCAAACAGTAATCAAAACTTTTCATCTCACGAAAAAATCATCCTCTACCCGACATCCGAACCCTAATTCCAGGTTTCCAAAATTCCAACGAGGAATTCAAAATTGTCAAAACAAGGTCGAAGCATACTCTGTAGTAGAAACCACATAAAATGCTTGATCAGAAGGCCCCTTGCTAGAACTGAAACATTCAAATACACCAAAAGCATTTCTGACATCTCCAATACCATACCTACACTCGATGGATCCAACCTAGCATTTGAATACGGTGTATCCGCTTAAACTGGTGGCAAAGTAAAATCACCAACACTCCGATGAGCAATATTCTCAATCAATCCAGGGCCCATCACAAGAGGTATTATACCAAATTGATGTCCACCACGGTACCAGAGAACTTATACCCCCTTTGAATCTAGAGTATTTAGCGAGATGGATTTTTTTTCAAGTCTAGAACATGTCAAATCTAGCCAAGTATTCTGACTGTCACATCCTGTAACCTCAATCTAACTCGATTGATTCCAACAACATAACAAAATTGATTACTTCCCATGACAACTCCACATTGCTTAACCCCTCATGTGCCTCAAACAAGTCTCAATTGGGATACATATGGAATGTACATGCTTAATCCAAAATCCACTTCTCGCCAGGCTTAGACTCCATGTTAGATATTGTCAACACCATATCTCCACCATCCAAAAAGTCCTCGACAATACTGGTCTCATCCGAATTACATGATTGTCTCCCATGATTTGCATCAAAATTACCTTTAGCTTGCAACTTATTGCAATCTTTCTTAACGTGTCATTTTCTCCTACAGTAGAAGCAACATAAATTGTTGAAGTTCACCTTGATCTACCCCTCCGTCGAACCATGAGATACCAGAGCTTTCTCATCCCTAATGTAGCTCCAACCTGATACTTCATCTTCTTCTTTGAGAATAAAGCATCGTAAGTGTCTTCAATGGTAAGCATGTTAGGACTGTACAATATCATGTCCCGAAACAACAAGTATGAAGCAAACAACAAGTACAACAAAATCAAGGCCAGATCTTCTTCATTATACTTGACCTCCAATGTCTCCAAATTTGCAACGATTTCCTTGAACACAGCCAGGTGGTCTTCCTTCGATCTTCTTTCTGCCATGCGATGGGAATACAGCCCTTGCTTTAGACATAGTTTGCTCATGAGACTATTGGTCATGCACAACTGCTCCAATTTTAACCACAAAGTAGCCACCGTTTTCTCCTTCAATATATCTTGTAGAATGTTATTGGGAAGGTAAAGATGAATTTGTGAAAAAACATTCCTGTCCTTCCGTTGTTTTTACTCCGTTGTCCAATTTGTTGGCATTTTATCAAAACCCAGCAAAGCATCATCTAAATTCATCTACTCCAACGTAGTCCTCATCCTTACTTGCCACAGTGAAAATCTTCTATTGCGATCCAACAATGGAATATCATACTTCAATGTAGCCATCTCTGAGAAATCCTAATCAAATCAAGAAGAACTACAACGTAACTCCGATACCAATTGTTGGACTCAGAGGCTATGCAAGAATTGAGATTAATGAACAATATGAAACATATATGATCACAACTAAGAAAACAAGATTAAAGTAAAGAAATTGAAGAGAGATTTGCAGAGAAATCGGTGTTTTGATTAAAGACAATATATGGAGAGAATACAAGAATTTAGCAATAATTCTTCCCCCAAACTGAATGAAGAACAACATATTTATAGGGACATACCAAACTCTAAAAATATCATGAAGATGGAAATAATATAAATAATAATGTGGAATAAAGGAAATAATATTTTCCAATAAAATCACGTGAAAATAAGAAAACAATATTTTCCAATAAAATCACTTAAAAATAAGAAAATAATATTTTTCAAAATACCCACCCTAATTTGGAACACAAAATCAAACAAATAAAGCAGCTGGACAAGCAGGTTGCTAGCAACAAGAACATAAATTTGGAACGACTGTCCAATTCACAATTTGAAAAGAAAACAAAGGAGCAGGATAGGCAAGCTGCTTGCTAACAAGAACGAATTCTTTAAGTTGTTAAACCTTAGACTCATGCAAAGAGACATGAAGCATATGTAATGTTGCCTGAGTTCGAAAGTTGACAATAGATAGGCAAAGAATAGGCTGAAATTCGAAAAACAAATTGGGAAACTTTTTGAATTTAGGACAAAACAAAGTACAAATTTTTTTTAATTTTTTTGCTAAATCGGGTCAAGAAATGCTGCGAAAAATAGTCAACTTTGATGGATTACTGCAAGGCCAATTTGAAAATTTTAAAAGTTTGAATTTATTGCCCGAACAAGTGAAAAACAGCTAAACTAGAACTCGAATCTTCAAGGGCAAATCAAAACCTACTAACCCGGTTTCAATCTTCCAAAACACATGAATCTTTGTGAACAATACCAAACAAAACTACAAGAACACACATGAATCTGATTAAACTT